GGATGCAAATGAGAAAGGAACAGAAAGGGGTTTTTCTACTTGTTCCTGGTGTTTCTGTTGCGTCAGAATGCTGCATTAAAGCATAGAGGTTAGTTGGTGTTGCATTGCAGGGGAATTAGCAGCCTTTCATCCGTCTTTACGATGGGTCCGATGCTCATTGCCCTTGTGTGGGTGGCACCAGGTTTATTGACTGTGATGACAGTTATGCTCTTAATTGTCTGTTATTCTCCCTCAGTGGTTCCTTTTGTATTTAGTCAATTGTTTGATGTGACCCGCTGGGGATTTATCCTTTTTTACACATTGGTTTTATGATTAGTGGGACAGGAAGGAGAAAATTGTTGTCTTCTGTTTTTAATTTGCTGTTTTTATGAACAGGAAATTAACTTGTGGGGGGAGGTGAGTTACGCCAATCATTATACCCTCCTTTTTAATTTTTTTTGCCATTTGTTTCTTGGTTATTGTTTGAGCTTTCATTTCACTTTTATCCTGCGCTCCTGATTTATTTCATCAGCCTGTGGTTCTGTACTTTTTGTTTTTCCACACCTTCCTGTCTAGCAGTTTCTGTTTACCATTTTTATTTTGGTTCAGAGGCATCATGCTGTGTCACGGTGTCCTGACACCGACGGGGTCAGGTAGTCTGGCCTTGTTGACATGACACGTTGGACTTTTTGTTATTAGCACTTCTGGATGTTACCAACCACTTCCAAAAGCTGGTAATACAAATTCAAATCAAATCAATTTATTTATAAAGCACTTTAAAACGGCGTCCGTGGACACTAWGTGCTGTACATMAGGGGCCAAAAACAATAAACGAAATAAACACTAAAAACACTCAAACACTTAAAACAAGCAAAAAACAGCTAAAAAGACCTAGATCTCAAACTGTGTTAAAAGCCAGTGAATCACCATGTTTTCTGAGGATCGTCCCGAGGAAGCATTTACAAGGAGAAAATCAGAGGACCCAGTACCGAACCCTGTGGAACCCCATATAAGAATGGAACAGTAGAAGATTCACAAGCCCCAAGCCCAACAGACATAGTCCTGTCTGCCAAATAGGACCTAAACCAGTCCAGGGTGCTTCCACCAATGCCCACTAACTGCTGAAGATGATCCAAACAGAGTGCAGTGATCTACAGTGTCAAAGGCAGCGGTCAAGTCAAGAAGGACAAGAACAACAGAGTTGCTGCTATCATTAGCTATTAAAAACTCATAAAAGGGCGGTTTCCGTGCTTGGAAAATTATATGAGACCAAAGAAGAGTGGATTATCAAAACAGCAGAGTCCTGTTGGGCTATTATACACACTCCAAGTCCTAACGTAATTTCCTCTGGTCACAGCTGTCACTATAAGACCAATGTGAATATTAGTCACTAATATTTGGCATTAAACAGGTGAGTGCAGTTGTTACATCCAGCTTCTTTCACCTCAAGCTAAGTGAAGCTGTACCTCCCTGTAAAAGGTGTAAAGAAAAAAGTTATTCATTCTTTAATCCTTTCTTCCCTGTTTGCTGGTGTAGATAAATCATCTCTACCAACAGTCAACCAGCCAGTTAGTTTAATCAGTTCTGTAATGTTTTAACTTAAATTTATTTACTGAGTCCTCCTGAGACTTTATCAGTCTCTCAGCTTGTTAATAACGAACCAGACAATCTGATGCAGAACCTCGACACACCTCACTCTTTATGTTCCACTGATTCTGTCACTGAATGGTAATTAAAAGTAAAGATGAAATATTATTCTGTTATTAAAATGTTGCTGCTTTAATGATGTCGAACCCAAACTCGTGTCCTTGTCAACTTTTTATCCATTTGTTTTAAAATCTTATTTTATATTTGTAATACTTTTTAGCATTCGATTTTTGTCATTTTTCTTGGGTGATGTTATTGACACTGATGTGTTAGCAACTTATTTTGACTGTTTTATTTCTGTACAAAATGAATTTATGTATAATTATCATAAGTGCACAGTCTCAAATGGCAAATTACCTTAAATTAAACAAAAATGCAACACAAACAATTTTACTGAAGAGTTGCTAAGTAGGTTGATCCGTTCTGTTTTTTGGACGTCAACATGTTTAATGAGCGCGCCGCACGCTGATTGAATAAATCTGTGAGCGGGGGCCTAATGATCCAGGCTGCATCTATTTTGTCATCATGTTTGGAGTGCACGTCTGCTTTGTTGAGTCAGGGAGAACGATCACACATTCAGGTGAGCTATTGATCAAACGCTGCTGGTCCAATACACACAGCAGAACCCGTGTATCTTTTTTGACATTTCTTTCATGCCTCAACCTTTGTATTTTGCATCTGATTGACATTTCCTTGGTATATGTGTGTAAACACGAGGATCTTAAGATATTTCATTCATTCATGCAGATCATTTTTTTCTCTCTCTTGAGGTCCACAAAGAATTTGGATGCTGGTCACGAATTCTATAAGCCGTAAAGAGTTGCCTATTATCTGAGCAATATTTCTGAGCCCAATACGAGTTTGTGTTTAGGTTTCCAGTGAGTCACAATTTATTTTCCTTTTGAGGCAACTTGTGGCTGTTATTGTTGTATCACATCATGTTGTTTTGAACAATTTGGCTTGTTCAAAAAGCAGCTAAAGACAAATGCCTTCCATTATGTAAGATTTTTTTTCATGACATTATGCTTTATTTAGCTTTAAGTTCTTTTTAATCATCTGTTTTTAATGTTACGTTCTGTCTGTATTTATGTGAAGTGACTTATTTTTGTGAAAAGCTCAGTATAAATAAACTTCTCAGTGTGTTGGCAAGAATTTTGTGATATGATACATATGACACATAAATCACTATACGATATATTGCAATATTGTAAAATAAAAATACTGCCTTTTTTCTCCTAACATTCTAATTAAAAAACTGATATTTTATATGTTTTGCATTCTATATTTTTCATGTTTCTGTTTTCATCCATGTTTTCAGTGGTTAGGTTAGGTAAAATAGTTTGATAATATATTTGTGGCAGCTTTTAGATATGTAATATTAATTTATTATAAAAATATGGTCATTCAACACACTAACAATAGCATAATCTTGTGCTAAAGTTCAGTAAARTGATTAAGTTTAGCTGCTACAGTCTGCTTTTCTCCCGGGGCACCTTAAGGAGCTAGCACAAGTACAATAGTCATTTCAATGCCCTCAGTGTTTGTTGTATTTGGTCACTTCAATCGTAACATGTCCGAATGCAGGCTGCAGTCAGAGAAGAGCATCCTGCATGAGACACTTCAGTTTGGCTTAAAATACGAGACATTCTGGCTAATATGGGACAGTTGCAGCTCTACCTCAGCTTTTAAGGCAGTGGGTGTTGGTCTAATCTGCTCAAATTTAGCCATCGGTACATAGTGCTAATGCTTACAATGCTAACGTTTGAGCTAGCGTTTCACTCTTGGGAGTGGAGGAGCCAAATGACTGCTGCCAACTAGTGATCAGAGGCTAAACTACAACACAAGAACGAACCGCTGCCATGAAAGTTTACATTTTAGGCCTTAATTAAAAATCGATACAGTGCTTTAGGAAATGAAATTTGAAATACAAAGCTCTTAACAACCAAGCTCCAACATATATTAAACATCTTATTGTTCCATATTTTCCTAACAGAGCACTTTGCTCTCAGACTGCAGTTTTACGTGTGGTTCCTCAAGTTCCTAAAAGTAGAATGGGAGGCAGAGCTTTCAGTTATCAAGCTCCTCTCTTGTGGAACCAACTTCCAGTTTCTGTCCATGAGGCTGACACTCTGTCTACTTTTAAGATTAGACCGAAGGCTTTCCTTTTTGATAAATCCTATTGTTAGTCCTGGACCAGTTCTTCTGTGTTTACCTGTGTCTCTTTCCTGTCCCTCAACCAGCTGGTCGAGGAAGATGGCCGCCTGTCCTGAGCCTGGTTCTGCTGGAGGTTTCTTCCTGATTAGCAGGGAGTTTTTCCTCTCCACCGTTTGCTCAGGATGGGAGACTGTGATGAAGTGATTCAACACAATCTGCTGGTTTCTTCTTTTAGATTATTCTTTTTATGTCCAGTGCCCTGAGACAAAGGATGTTGTAACTTGGTGCTATATAAATAAACTGAATTGAATTGAAATATATCTATATTTCAGTGTATTGTTATTTTCTCACAACCCTAGCTTAGATGCCATGGATTGGTTGTATTAGGAGCTCAAACTGCATCCCTGTGACTGTTTAGTTTTAGACATTAAATTACAATCCACCCAGACTTTTCTGCAACAAATTTTGACCAAAACACGACCAACATGCTCTGTGAAAAAACTGTTTGCCTTTGGTTGACAGACATGCGGAGGATGAGAGAGCGTCAGTGGTCATGTTTATTTAGGTACGGGTGTTATTTGAAAGAGAATTAGATTTGGAGGATTTTAATGAAACTGTGTGCCGCTGCGAGTCGGTTCTGTCGCATGCTTGTGCAGTTTTTTTGGGCTCCGTGTGACCCCTTTTTATGCATCACATCAATATGCGAGTGCATCTGGATTACATTCACAAAGATTTTTTATCAGTTTTTATAGGTCAGTGGGAACGTAGCCCAAGAATTATTAAGCAAACTTGAAACCTGCTTTGAATGTATTTATTATGAGCACTTCCAATTCAGTTTTGAGGGTGAGGCAGCAATGCTTCATGCTTCTGTTTACACCTGCGGTTTTTCTAGTTTGCTGTTTTGATCAGTTTGTCTTTTGATCATTTTAAAGCTTGGTGTAATTACAGAACAAGGGCGCCCCATCCCACTTGGTTGGGTAAACTTCACTCCAGTCTTTGTAAAACATGTGTCTCCTCCATATCTTGTCACACAGACACTCACTGTTTCTTAAAAATGTTCTGCATTCAAGTCGTCTACATAACAGATGCACACAAGCAGTCAGCTTGACAAGGAGTCGCTTGCAAGAATATGATAAGGCACTCTCACACCCACGCTCGCTCTCACAACAGTCTTGTTTGTTTTGTCCCCCCCCCCCCACCCACCCCACTGTTTGTGTTAGCTAGCAGCTTGCCAAGAAGCTCGGGCCTTGGACAGACAGACACGCAGAGCTGACACACCTATAGACGGAGACAGAGTCCAGCTGGCTTCCATGGCAGCAGCAAAGGGAGCAGATGTGCAAGGTGCTTTGATCTAGGTGAGTACCAAACGGGGCGGAGATCCGCGGGGAGGGAGGAGGGTGGGTGGGAGTGCATACTGATCCATACCAGTAAGTTTTAGTCTGTAAGGCATCAACATATCATCTGCTATGACTAAGGGTTTTACAGCAATAAATACTCACATTATGATTAATATTCGAGAAGCTGCATGAATCAACATTCACACAACTAGCTAATATGAAATCCACAGGCTGGTATCTCACTGGGCTGCAGCTAACGATAATTTTGATAGTCAACAAATCTGTCAATGATTTTTTTTTGATTAATTGATGTATTTCTAATAACACGTGATCATAAGAAAAATTTAATATTACAAACTGGAGGTCAGTCTCAACAAACTAAGTCTTTTAAACAAAAAGGTAATGTGCAAATAACTCAAATTAGCAATCCCTACATGTTAACCCGCCCTGCTGCAAGTTCAAATAAACTAAAGAATAACTTTGGTTGAAGTGACATTCAAGTGCATAAAATTAAAAAAAMAATCCATCCTGTTGAAAATTTTGCTGGATCTGGCAGTGCAACAGTTCAAAAAAGACTTCTGCACAAGAAAGAAACAAAACAAAAACATGAGATGACGAGACAGGATGGATTACTATAATTCATTGATTTCATTTGATAGCACTTAATGCTTAAGCAGCTTTAGCATAATTGATAGCTCAGCTTCCAAGAAACACTGGTGTCTAATAGAAAAACTAACAAAACTTATAGACAGTTTTCTGCAGCATGAAGTGATCAGTCACTGTTATCTGCACGGTTTGCAAAACTGTATTTATAGACACGCACATTATTTTGTTTTCTCACATCGGCTCATTTTCTACCGAGCTTAGCAGCCACCTCCAGGGGCGTGGGGGATCCTGCAGCAAGGATCCTGCAACATGGATCCTGCAGCATGGATCCTGCATTATGGATCCTGCAACTTGGATCCTGCAGCAGTGGATCCTGCAGCATGGATCCTGCAACATGGATCCTGTAGCAGTGGATCCTGCAGCATGGATCCTGCAACATGGATCCTGCAGCAGTGGATCCCGCAGCAGTGGATTCTGCAGCATGGATCCTGCAACATGGATCCTGCAGCAGTGGATCCCGCAGCAGTGGATTCTGCAGCATGGATCCTGCAGCAGTGGATCCTGCAGCAGTGGATCCTGCGGCATGGATCCTGCAGCAGTGGATCCTGCAGCATGGATCCTGCAGCATGGATCCTGCAGCAGTGGATCCTGCAGCAGTGGATCCTGCAGCATGGATCCTGCAGCATGGATCCTGCAGCATGGATCTGGCATCACGGATCCGGCATTATGGATCCTGCAGCATGGATCCTGCAACATGGATCCTGCAATAAGGTTCCATTTGCATCTGTTGTGCGGTCTGATAAATGGCCTCTCCAAACCAAGCTCCCGGGCTGGATTTCCACCCCAGCCTGCCCCTGGCCACCTCCGTGTTAATGATTTAATCTACTGTAGCACACTTGTTTTTTTTTCCAGTAAATATTAACATCTGTGTGGTTTTCAGACCTGGATGTTTGCCAGGTGTTTTTGCAAGGCGAGGTGATATTACAGCTCCAACAATTCCTTTGACAGTGACGGTGTTTTCTAGCTTTTGWGCTCCTGCTTGCATCCAGGAAAACAAATCCTTGTGTAGGATGTGTTGTGAGGTGGTTGAGTTTTTAAAATAATCCTCTTTCTGGCAGATCCTGTTGAAGTCAAAATGAAATAGTTTTTATAAATGCATGCCCTGAATGTTAGAATACCTGCTTGCTGTTTATCTTCTGTTACATTTCGTGCAGTTTCGGTGATTAAAAGTAGACGCTTGTGTCTTGCTGATCCACAAGAGGAAGATGGTGCTCGCTGACCTGCACATAAAGTCAAATTTGCTGTGATCACAATGACAAGTGTTTCTATATGAATACTTAGTAATTAGCTAAGAGGAGATGGAGAAAGGTTGAATTTGGTGGGGCATTACAGGACCTGTCAGAGGGCCCCGCTCATCCTACTTCCTAAAATCTGTCAGGATGCCTGTCTGGGGCCCGTGCTGCCGAGTCTCCCCCCCCTCACACTTCACTGCTTCAGTTAATTGAAGCCACTTCAGATCAGTCAGAAGAGCTGGATCTGCACGCCTGAGCAGACCAAAGAGCTCACCTGACCCGCCAGTCATGACCGCCAGCTGCTGCCCGCCGTGCTCAGCTTCCCCCCGACTCATCATCGTCTCCCACATTTACAAAGCAAAGACGTCCCAGACACACACGCTTCGTATACCAAACTCATTCGCTCCAACCTGAAGCAGTGGATGTTTGCACCAGCTGCATGTTTAAAATACTTAAAACACTTCCATCCATCTAATGCACGTGTCAAACTCAAGGCCCGCAGGCCAAATCTGGCCATTGTTAAAATTTGAATTTGCACCAAAATACTTTAAATGTATAATAGTTTATGGTTTCACTTTTTAATGTCTTTTGTGCACTTTTGTCATTTAAGCCAACTTTCAAGCCAGTAAAAATAAATTAGACGTTTTTAGTATTTCTCATTTTAAGTCAAATGTTTTGATTTTTAGTGAGTGTTTCCTTTTTTTTTTAACCTAATTTGCTGTATTGTGATAAAACATGTCTCCAAGATAGAGCTTGAATTTGCATTTCCTACAAAAATGTAGTGGGATTGCTTAATGCGGAATAGTTAAAAAAGCTAAAACTAGCCAAAAATAGGTAGAAAAAGTAGCTGTAATAGCTGAACTTAGCTCAACGAAACAGAAAGAGAACAAGTTTGATGAATTAAGCAGTAAGAAGCTGAAATTATCAAAAAAAAAACAGTGAATTAAGCTGAAAAAAAGCTCAAATTAGCTCAAAAGTGCTAAAAAAATAACAGAAAGGAGCATAAAAGTTTAAATTAGCACAAGAATAGCAGAAAAGGTCAGAATGATAGCTTTAAAAGCAGAAAAAATATGCCAAAAAGAAGCCAAAGGAAGCTGAAATTAGTACAAAAGAATTAGAAAAAGTTGAACCAGAACAAAAAGTAAAAAGTACAGTAAAGATTTATGAACATTTTGAAGGGTTGAGGACAGCTTTGTTCAGTTTCAATGAGAAACAAATGGTCAACAAAGCTGAAAGTATAAATTGCTGAAATACCAAAACTCATAGCTGGAATGTCCTGAAGTAGGTGAACATTTTGATGTATAAATTGTTGAAATGACACAAAAATTATGGAAGAAACRTGGATGTCAGTGATGTGAATGGTTTAAAATCATCCTTACAATAAATTAAAAAGTTGTTGATAGAGCATAAGGCATATGAAATGAATGCTAACAAAGAGTCTTTCTAATTTTAATCTTATTTTACTTTATTTGTTATATACATACTAAATGTTACATAATACATAATTAGGTGCTTTAAGAATAATTTMCTTTAAATACTTTTTCAATAAATCTCGACAAAAATTGAACCCTGGCTTTGGTTAAGTTTTGAATTTTGTCCCTGTTAAGAAGCTGAGTCTGACAGCCCTGATCWAARGGTTCATGTGATATTTTKCTAACACRACAGACCTCTCAAYTCTGCCTCTCCGCTGCGTTTTGCTGRGGTTCTTTCCATCAGGGCGATCACACCGGCTGCCTGAGGAGCGATCAGAGGGAGCGCTGTAGATCTTTGCAGACAGCTCACTTGGGAGTGAACGTCTACAGTGAGAAATAGAACAGTTGGGTGTTGTTTTAAATGCCAGGCTTGTTCTCAGTCAGTGAGCTTTATTGTGCTAGCCTTTAGTTATACTGTAGCTTAGTCAGCTGACATTTAATGCGCAGCCATTACTCTGCTGCTGCTTTAGTCCAGGCGTAGTTCTTCCTCGCCTAAATATGAACAGACAGATGTGACAGCTGGCCAGCCATATGTGACAAGCCTTTTAGATCTTTATGCTTTAATTATCCACCTCCCCTGAGACCAGTATTGACATTTAAGGTCTTAACACTCAGACCCCATAAACTGCCAGCCACCAGTTAGCATTATGTGTCTCCTGGAAACCACYGAGCAGACTGCAAAGATGCTTAACAGCTGCTCATTGTTCATTATGTTRACCAGAGTCTTATTAAATCCTTTAGCTGATCATTTGAGGTTTAATTTAAAAAATAAGAAAAGCTCTGCTAAGGTGTTCCCACTTTTTAATGCTGCTTTTGTAAAACTTAGAAAACATTTCCTTCTTTTATTTTATTGTTGGAAAGTTAGGAGATGTTGGCACTAGAGACGGTCCTGGGTTTCCTCTTCCTCCTGCACAGTGAGGCAGTTCCATCCTGACAGTTTTACTCCATTTTTCTCCTTTTTTTATGCATTTAGCAGCAGTTTCTTTTATTTGATGTTGTGTGCTTGTCCAATTCCACCATTTTTGTTTAGCTGTGTAGACCACAGCCAGCTGAGTGTTTTCTTCAGAATTACCTTTAAATATATTTGAAGTAAACTCTTTTTGCTGTAGTTCAACCTTTTTTAATGTTTGACTTGTCAGTGTGGACGTCATGAARGTCTTCAGTTTTTCCTCTTAATCTGTTTTTCTTTTATTCCGTCATTATTCCTTCCTCCAAATTTTCTACCTTTTTAATTCCCCTTTCAGTCCGTCTCACCTGGGTTGCTCCCACACATRCACATTTCTCTTGTTGTCCCCGGCTCTAATTTTAGTTGCTGTGGCAACCCTTTGGCTCCTTCCACTTATCCTTCTTGCTTCTGAGCTCCTTTTTTTCATTTTTAAATTTGTCTGAGCTGGTTAATGATAGTTTGTTATTTTTACAGTGGTCCTAGTGGACTGAGCTCATGTGTTCTCTACAAACTAAATTAGTTTCTTTTTTATTTTTGTTATTTGATTTTATCCTTCTCCCTTTTTTGTTTGTAAATGCTGGTTTATTTATTTATTTATATATTTTGAATTGTTGCTGAAAGCCACTTTATTTTGTTAGACCCTAAAAAATGTTTTCCTTCATAGAC